CCACTGAAGATATACTGCTCTTTATTTTATAGGTAGAAAAAGAAAGGCCAAGAGATAAAGTTAGTTGTTTGAGGCCACAGAGTTACTGAGCTTTACTGAGGTCTTAATTGTTTGTGGAGTGAGAATATTAAGCCTTTTCTTGTCTATGGCACTACTTACGTAAGTTGTAAAAGCATTTTAAACAGGATCATTAAAGAAAGCCTGCTGTTTCATACTGCTCTTTATTTTATAGGTAGAAAAAGAAAGGCCAAGAGATAAAGTTAGTTGTTTGAGGCCACAGAGTTACTGAGCTTTACTGAGGTCTTAATTGTTTGTGGAGTGAGAATATTAAGCCTTTTCTTGTCTATGGCACTACTTACGTAAGTTGTAAAAGCATTTTAAACAGGATCATTAAAGAAAGCCTGCTGTTTCATAACCCTGCTTCCAGTAGGAAAAGAGCTAGACAAGAATGCAACCAAAGCTTACTTGATCAACAATGGAAAGATGTCGAGCTTCTTCTAATTTCGTATGTAGAATAGGGTTTGGGTGTATAGCTTCAGGAGACAAGTAGGGCCTGTATCCAGAAAGCAGGTAGGAAAGACAAATTCCTGAAGGTCCATTTCCTAATAAAGAAAGAAGTCACTGTATTAGTACAGATTTCAATGATCTACAGTTTGTAAGTAGTATAATGCCATACTGTCCCGATTCGAAGCAGCTTAAAAACCTTGCAGCCAAATAAAGCTTTCCATAAGACCTTCCTCCAAATAAGCAGAACAAAATACATGTAGAACATATGTATGACTGTTTACAGCATTAACAAAATGCATATAAAGGAGTTCCATAATTTAGCATGTCAAATTCATTATTCTTGAGTGAAAATGGCCTGGCAGACAATGGCCTGCCTGTCAATCACAGTGGTATCTGAGTATTATTCCCATTTATACTGGGCACTGTACAACACAGAGCAGAAAGACAATGTAGAGCATATGCTCTTCAGGTTTGTCCATAAAGCAAAAGGAAGAAAGAGACAAGCAGAAAGCTGAAGACTGAAAGTCAGATGAGAAGTTACAGACATGGAACAACAGCGACATAAAAGCTAAGTGAAATCAGATACAGCAGGTAAGTGGTAAAGTACAAGAAACTCATGTAACACCACATTCATCATTCAGCAACAATATCAAGTCAAATATATTTATCCTTTTTGTAGCCTTTTATAATTTGCATATGTGCATTGCTACAGTTTTAATAGACACTGTTTTTAAAATGTTATTAAACATATGAAATGGATGGGACTGAAACATCACCATAAGGCAAATATACCTATTTATTTGACTAGTATTAAACAAAGTAGGGGACCACATTTATCACATACAAATACAGAGTAGCATTCATGTTGCAAAGTCAGATATCAAAAGCTACAGAAAGCTAAAGTCAGAAAGTATGTGCTATGATACAGAATTTAAATGTGAATATGCTATTGCTATTTCTACAGCTCCTCTTCCTCATTAACTGAATGAAAAGCACAGTGTTCTCCTAATGAGGCACTTGTCAGTGTTTTGTCTTTGTTTGCCATCTAGAGTGGCACACATGGTATTTGGCACACACTCTGCAAATTCTGGGCTTAAGTTACTAATTTGTTCATGCTTTTATATAGCACTCATTGTTAGGATGTTAGCTCTTACTTCCACCATTTCAGCTCTTGATGTCAAGAGTCCACATGTTGTTTCCTGTTCCTCATCACCTTTGCATACACTGGTTTATCACCAGTTAACAAACCCACTTCTCCAACGCCTGTCTCTTCTTCCTTTTCTGATTGCTCAGTCCTCAAATCCCCCATCAGTTTGCTGACGCCTTGCTCATGCCCAGTCTCTTCATACACTGGATATATTTTTCCTGTTCCACTAGGCTGCAGTTACCTGCAGAACATGCCATACTTTACTACAATGCAGTGCACATAGACTGGTCACAGCCATGGCCTACAAGAAAATCATGCAGACTCACTACAGATGAGTTTTTCAAAGGCTGAGACTGTTAACATATACAAAATCCTCAATGAGCATTTTTCTGCAAAGGCCTAGAAGCCAAGTAAGTATATGAGAGTGCACAGTGGTTCCTATCAAACAATCTAGTTTTTGCACCCAGATATGGAGAAAAAATAAAAGCATTAGATGTACTGTAAGGACCATAAAGCACTGGAAAAAGACTGTCTAGGAAAGCTGTGGATTTCCATCATAGGGATTTTCAAGACAAAAGTCTTTAATAAAAAGGTTTAAATATTGGTGATCCTGACTATACTGTTTCCCAAACCACTTCAATTTCTATTTTGCCATTTACAAAAAAGACCATAAAGAATCTAAAGACAGTGAAAAAACTCTTCCTTACTCTCACCCTGTTCTGTCATCCCACAAACAGATCAGCACAAAACAGCTGGATATGCTTCAGTCCAGGAATTTAAAGCTTAAAGCAGATAGAAGCCCCTCCTGTCACCCACTTGCCACATGAGATGGATGTGAGACAACCTTAGCAATACAGCGAAACCATCCATAAGAAAATCATATGAAATTATGAAAACACTCTAACCATACCAACAATTCACAAGCATTCCCATGACTGAGTAAATTCTTAACTGTTTTTAGAATTGTGCCTTGTGCACAGTAAAAAATTCTCTATCTTTTCACAAGTGCATAGCTAACTTCTTGTTTTCTACAGGGGTGTAAACAAAGCTAGTTCACAATGGAAAGAGAAAAATGTGTGCCATATCCAAGGATGCCATGGTAAAGATTATTCCTACTGGACAAGACTGAAAAAACCCAAATGGATAACAAAGGTTGCCAAAACAAAGGCTGGCAAGGGCCAAGGAAATTACTGAGGGTGGGATTAAGGTTAAGGTGAAATACTGTCACTAAGCTGCCCAGCAACTTCCCTGGGACCATCTAAACTCAGTTCCTGTTCTTTAAGCAGACTGAGTCCAAGGGAAAGAAATTCTCTTCAGGATATGCAGCTAATAGTTTGAGTACCAGCAGAAGCTTCTTCCATACAGCAAACTATAGTACAATCATTTTTACATTACGTGTCTAAATTTAAAGCAAATAATCAACTTCAAGTACGGTAACAGCCTTATGTTATTTGGATGAAATGTGTTTACATAGTAATAATCAAAACTAGTGCAGAAGATAACAGTGTTTTACACAGAACATGCTCTAGATTTAAGAGTTCCAGCATAAAATTATTCAATCCCAACTCATTCAAATGGAATGCATCGATTTCTTCCCGATTTTTTGAAGACAAGTACTGCACGGAAGTTACTTAACATTATCACAGTAGCTTAGTACTCTATGCAGAGCTACAGTACAATATGCAACACAAGCACAGAATTAAATCTTAAACCTGGCATCATACTGGGGATGGTAAAGAAAGGGGAATAAAAATTCTTCCTCCATCATTAAGTTAAATGCTTACACTTGTGCCATCTCTTTTCTTTCGGATTAATAAAATGGCGCAATGTGAAAATGGCAAACTATGGAAATGTTTATCTCCAGCTACACAGGAACTGCACAGAGAAGATTAAACCAGTAGACAGAGTGTTTGTATATGGGTGGAATGACAACTATTTCCATACTTTTCTACAGCATCATTAAATAATTTAAAACCTCTTTGAAGGCTCTTGGGTGAGACAATAATTAGTGATAACAAGCTAACAATGAAGATCAGCTTGTGAAGTGTCTCATATCTGTGAAAAAACAGTTGGGCAATGTATTTGTTTTTCAGGAAGAAATAGTCAGGGCAGCTGTGTTTGGTGTCAGCACCTAGAAAGGTGCTCTAGACAAAATAAGAACTGAGGTATTTGCATAATGCCTATTTGCAAAACTAAACAGTGAAAACTGAGTCATTAGCCATATGGCAAACCTATACTAAGGCTGACAAAACGCCAGGAAACTGTTGCTCTTCAACTATGATGCAAAACTCATCAAGTGATTCTCGTCTGCCACATCCACATCCCTAAGTCCTTTATATGAGCACTATTTTAAACTGTCATGAAGAGAGCTTTGAGAACAGGCACTGTACAAACACCAGCCTTTCAAAGTTGTGGAGACTTACTGTGAGCACAATTATGTTGAAACAGCAATCTCCAGTATCTCTGCTTGTTTGAAGGTACAGTTAAAGCTGTTAGTTTCCTCTAGTCCCAGCAGCTTTGGACTAGATTACTGAAAACCTTCTTTACTCCAGGTCTTTTCTTTATCCCCTCATGAAGTCATGGCGATAAGGAGCTGGTGACCAGCTGTTGCTGAAAAACTCTGGCCCAATACAAATCATCCTGGCACTCTCAATTAAGCTGTGTACCTATGGAGCCTGCTCCCCCTACTATCCTGTCATTCAGCAACCTTTTACAAGCCTTCAAGTATTTAATCGAGACTACAATTTATTGTTTTAAACTGACTGAATTGAATCAAACTCATTTTGAGAAAGATGGGAAAATATCTGAACATTAATGATGGATGCAACAGAGAAAAAGGCAATCAATGAGAGGTTAGCACCTAACGAGCATACAGCACACACTTGACATTATGCTTTTCACTGTCCCGTGTGACTGCACAGATTTCTACTGGTGTACATCCACAACCTCCATGCATCCTGAAGGAGACAGATCACATGAATCAAACCCTATGTGATCAACACTGAAATCAATATAGTTCTTCCATTAAGACTCCCATAGCTGCTGTCAAATAACGCAGCTTATTTTGTCAAAGCACAATTTGCATTCAAATATATTCCAACAACATGCCCCTTAACATAATTTTATGCTACTGTTGTTAATCATAACAACTTTATTACTCTAATAAACATCTTCACTGTAAGGATGTTAAGCATTAGTTATTTAATTACAAGCTATTTCATGCAGCAGGTCTATAAAAACAATGGCAGTGACAGAGAGTCTTTAAAATAAAGTGAAAAAACTCACCTATTATTACTACAGGCAGAGTAAGGAGGGAGTCTCCAGGCAGAACAGTTTCTTCAATTAAAGGCATTCTTTTAATCTTCCTCCCAAGGCTGTCACCAAAATACTGGACAAAGGAATTCAAAAGCTGTCCTTCGTTTTCAGGGCTGCTGTAAGTTCTAATTGAGAAGGACAGAAGGGAGAAAACTAAAATGAAACAATGAACTGTTGTCACAACAGTCGCTTTTTCAAAAATAAAGTTGCTTTTGATGTTTACTTTAAGAGCTATGAAACTTGCAAAATTGAGACCAAAACAGGTATGTTTCATCCAATATACATAATCTTACTCTTCAGCACAGCATTTCTAACATAAGATTTTTAAAAAGTCCACTTTATTCTAGCAAGATTACAGAAGGATAACAAAAAGGCACAGATGGCTCTGCAGAAATGCAGATTTCTAATCTCAGTTTATACAAAGCCAAAGTATAACCACAAGCATTATTTTGATCCCACACACAGTAGAACTCATTCCTCATTATCCCTATCAAAGGAGGAGATACACACTGCCTAGCCAATTAACAACATTAAGGCCAGCCAAAGCCTGAAGGAGCAGCTAAGGTACAAGAGCAGCTGTTCACGTCCCTTCCTGCTGGCTGAGCAGCACACAGGACTTTGCCTCAACAGATTTCCATTCAGGTAGAAGTAAGGCTGGTTGAAGTTGGCAGTGGTGTGAAGATGGATCCCTGTAAGCCCTAGACACAGCCTACCTACCACTGTTAAAAGTGGAACTGCCATGCAGTCAGGGGAGCTCCAGTGCAGCAGACTGCTTTCACCCTTAGCCCTTCTCCTGGATTTCTCAGTTCTTTCTCTGCAACATCTGCTTAGGTTTGTCTCGTAACTCTTCACTGTCTAAATGTGCTTCTAGACAATGAAGATTTGTTTTATACTGTTTGCTGTTTAATTATTTAGGAGCCCTTTCTGAAGCCTTTCCAGGTCATTGAAGAAGCACACACTATCAGTTTAGCTAGAAAGGCAGAGACAAATTAAAAATAGTCTGCTATTGGCAGTTATTTTGTCAAGTCTTCAAAATAAAGACAAAAAATTTTCATTAAAAATGCCCCAATCAACAGTTCTAAACATTTTTCCTCTTTACAGTTTCAACTATTAATAAATAAAAGTGCTCTTATCTATTTCCCAGGAACTTGCATATCTTAAAGCTGTTCTAGTATTCCAGAAACTATGTTCTACAAGAGCCAAAAGCATAACACACTGATCCAACTCCCAGGGCCTTTAAGAAGCCACATACACCACGTACTGCCTCAACTCCCACAGCACTGAAGGTTCTGTTCCAAAAGCCTTTCCTCAGTGGGGAAGGCTGAAGTAAACTAGAGACAGAGCTGTACTGTAACAACAGCACTAGCACACTCTGTAATACATCTCTGATGGCTATGATCTTGTTAAAAAGGGTGGGAGCTATTCTAAGATTCATTTATTTCAGAAAGTACTTGATATCTGTATTCCCTGCAGTACAACAAAAAAAGTTTGCAAATTACATGTTTACTGGTTGACTGCAGCTGCGCATTAGCTCTTGGAGATCTTGGTAACATAGAAACAGCACGAGATAGATGAGGAGCAGTGGAAGGCAGAGAGAGGATATCTAATTATCCAACTGCTTTTTTCACCTCTGTTTTTAGATAAACACAGGTAGACTACTTAATTTTCTAGCCTTTGCTCAAAGTTGACTAATGCAAGATTACCTTATGCTTTGCAAAAGACAGGCTTAAAGGAAGTGTACATGTTTTCATGTGGTTTTATTATGCTTGCTGTGCTAGATGGAACATAAACCCCCCCAAAAATATTTCAAAACCTCTTTTATGGGATGTATGTGCAATCCTGTAGGCTACAAAAGCATCTTTTACCAATAAAAATGTTGCTATTGTTTAGCTTGGTGTATCACAAACTACCAAACAGGTAATTTTGCACAGAAACATCTGCGTACAGCACACTGTCTCAGCCATGGTGTGTATGAAGGATTGTTGTCAGGAGCAAGTTCTTCCTTTGCAAGAACATCACACCGGAACTGAGTGATGTTAAGCTCGGGGCCGCCGTCTTCCTAACCTTTGAAAACGCCTAAAACCACCAAGTACCAGAAGTTTTTATCTTGATAAAAACTCATGGCACACAGCTTTGCGGTGGTGGGGATTTGGTACAATTACCTATGACTCTAGTCCTGCAGAGATGCAAGTGAGCACAAGATGAGTCAGGTCCAACGCTACTGCTTAGTTTATCTTACGCTGGTCACATCAAATAACCTCAAGGATTACATTCTGTTAAACTCCTAGGTTCTAACATGTGCATCCTCTTTCTTTTGCCTTTATTTTTAATGTGAAAAACCCATTAAGAGAAAAAAAAACACAGCATACACATAACAGAAAAAGACAATAATTATTTCATAATAACTTGCCTAATTTGCTCCAAGTTATTAAAACAACTGGTGCAGGTAGCAGCTTTGAAAGATCATAGGATACCCTACGCACTCTTAGCAAAGAAAGCAATTAAATAGACCGGCTGTGGTGGGTGGTTAACGGAGACCTCGTTATATAAAAGGAATTTCAATTCGGTCTCCGGTTGACGCTCCGGGATGCGGATTGAACCCCGCGGGATGGCTGTTGTTTCCCAGGTGAGCGGGCGCTGCCCCCGGGGCCGGGCGCGCTGCAGA